GGCCCTCGAAAAGTTTTTTCCCCCCCCCCCCCCCACACTCCAAAGACAGGCTGGAAGGTTTATTGGCCCCTGTCTAAAATGGCCCTTGTACATATGTATGTGAGATAAGCAGGGCCGGTACTGCCACTAGGCAAACTAGGAAGCCGCCTAGGGTGCACTGCTGCCTAGGGTGCACTGCTACCTAAGTAGCAGCCTTGACCATTCACCCCCCACGGCCCCCCCCCTCTATTTATAATTGCAAAAGCTAATGGCTGACTGGCTATTGAACCCACCCACTGAGTAGAGGAGTCAACTTTCTCTCTCAGGTCCGCTCCTCTGCTCAGTGGGTGGGGCTTCAATAGCCAGTCTGCTGTTGGCTATTTCTAATTAAAACAGCCAATAGCAGTCTGGCTATTGCTCCTGGCTGCTTACATTCACCTGTCGCCTGTGGAAGCTAGCCGGCAGGAGAATAGAGCCGAGTGGGAGGGGGGCGGGGGCAGGGTGTTTGCAAGTAGCCGGTCTTGCCCAGGGTGCAAAATAGTCTAGTACCGGCCCTGGAGATAGGGATCTTAGATTGTAAGCTCCTCTGGGGCGGGGACTAATGTAAATGTGCACTGTGTAAAGTGCTGTGTAAAATGTCTGGGCCATATAAATACTTGTAATAAATAAATAAATACATTTTGACTGTGGAACCTGCAAATAGGGGCAGGCAACATCGTCACTCCAGCTGCGGTGAAACTACAAATCCCATGAGGCATTGCAAGACTCTGACAGCCACAGGCATGAACTGCCTGAGGCGGATGCATGATGGGGTTTGTTGTTTCACCACAGCTGGAGGGCCGAAGTTTAACTACCCCTGCTGTAGATCCTGCCAGTAACTGAACTTCCTGTTGCAGACTTACAATGCCATGCCAGTGCCAAGCATGAGCATTGCCAGCCTGCCCTGTGCACACCGGTAGTTGGCCCTTGTGCTGCCCATCAGGTCTATCAGAAAGGCAACCGAAGGAGCGTCACACGGCACATCGTCGTCACGACAACGCTTCTGCACGCACGCTGCAATCAGGAGGCAGCGGCTTAGAATGGTCAGCCTGCAACAGGAAGTGCTGTGACGGGCAGGATCTAAGGTAAAAATAAAAAATTGCAACAGCTTCACACACAAACAAAAATGTGTACGGGGCGGTGCCAGAAATACTGACAAATAGGGATCATTTACATGGACGCAGAGGCCTGTACACCGGCCGGATCTCTGCTCCAGGGAGCCGCAGTGCTATTTACAATCCGTCTGTACAAATCAATGACGGGCAGGCCCGGATTCCCCACAAGGCCACCGAGGCCCGGCCCTCGGGGCGGCAGGGCGCAGAGAATAAAGAGAACCCGTCACCTCCAATTGCTATCACACAGGGGCTTGTTTTCTCCTGTGTGATAGCAATAAAGTTAGGTGGGGGAAAAAAAATTACGTGGATAAAAATCTTTTTTTAAATACATAACAATTTAAAAAAAATAATATGAAATAATTAAATAAAAAGGTGATTAAAAAGTTAAAAAAAAGAAACAAATTATAAAAAAAGATGAAAATTATCAAAAATAAACAATAATAAGATTAAAAAATGATTAAAAAAAAGTAAATAAGATAAATAAAAATCTAAAAAAAATTAAATTGATTAAAAAAAATAATGAAATAAATATAAATTAAACAAATAAGAAGAAATCATTAAATAAAAAGTGATAAAAAAAGTTTTAAAAACATTTAAGAAACAGTAAAAAAAAATTGACGCTAACCCCGCCGCATCCGGGTATCAACTTCCCTACAGGTGCACATGCATGTTCCCCCGGACGCAGCGTTCACGGTCTGCGCAGCGTTTATCAGCGTACAGCCAATCTGTGTCTGGGTACAGGGCTGGGAAAATCACAGACAGCTGGCAAGTATGTAAGTCATAATACTAATAATGATACAAAAACATTAGTGAAAATAATAATAATAATATTTATAACAATAGTAATAATAACGACAAGTAATAGTATTCAGCACATTAAAGGCACGGTCCATCTTTAGCAAGAATGTAGTAAACGAACCAACATCGATGCAATACAAAATGTGCCTATAATCGATTTTTGGATTAAGACCGGCAGAGCATTGCAACCGCGATGAGTGCGTCACAGGTGCATTACACACAGGTTCCAGCCACGGCTGGCCCCTCCCCAAGGTAACAATACAGCACTAGAGGGGTTAATAAAAGATCACACACACCACTCAGAGGTCACCCCGAAAACACCGGAGGACCCCTCCTACCGAAGTAGTGGGCGGGGTCTAGCTGCCGCTGTAAATGAGTTGTGACGTGACACGGCATTATGCGCGCCCAAAAAGCTGAGCTTTCCCCCGCGCGCAGCAGAGTGGGCGGGGCTTAGTTGCCGCTGTGAGCATGAGTGAGGCGTGACGGCCATTAGCTGAGGTGACCCCCGCGCACAGCAGAGTGGGCGGGGGTTAGTTGCCGCTGTGAGGATGACTGAGGCGTGACGGCTAAAAGCCGAGGGAACCCCGCGCGCAGCAGAGTGGGCGGGACTTAGTCGCTTGTCTGAGGGGGGATGGCGGCGGCCATGTTGTCTCCAGCACTGCGGGGGCGGGACTTGTGCACCGGAGAGCGGACTCAGGACCGGAGACTATACTGTGAGGAGCCCGGAGAGC